GAACTTGTCTCAAATACAACACATGAATGGAAAAAAAAATGACATAAAGGACCAAAGATAGTGGGAACTGCCGATGCTGGAGAATCTGAGATAACAAAGTGTAGAGCTGGATGAACACAGCAGGCCAAACAGCATCAGAGGAGCAGGAGAGCTGACGTTTTGGGTCTGGACCCTTCTTTCTGAAGAAGGGTCCAGACCCGAAACGTCAGCTTTCCTGCTCCTCTGATGTTGCTTGGCCTGTTGTATTCATCCAGCTCTACACCTTGTTATCTCACATAAAGGACCAGCTGGTCAACAAAAATATGATGTACCCTCTGTGCGCTACCACCTCAATCCACGTGATTGTCACCACAGCAGGCAATTTTCCCTAACCCTCTCCCTCTCCGACAACGATCTTCCCATCCACATGCCAACCATGCAATCTCTTCAAGAGGCAAAGGGAGAGGAGAAATAATAGGTCAACTTAGGAAAAATAGAGGTTTTGGATGTACTACCTTTACCTAAATTGAAACACGCCTTCATTTTACAACACTGTGGGTGGATCTGCACCACATGCACTACAGCAGTACTAGAGAAGCACTTACCTCTCTTTTCAGAGGTAACGAAGGCATGATTAAACGCTTGACTAATCAGTGATGCCTGTAGCGGTCAGCCTGGTGGACCTCACAGAATATGAGTTCCCTGATTGGGGCTGTTAACCTGATCCAGCAAAACAGTCCCACAAAACCTAAATTGAGTAAGAGAACTCTTCGGCTGTAACCAAGAGAGTGCACATCCTGGAAAGTCCACCAATATCTGGTCTGGAACAGTTAAATTGATTAGCAAAATCCAAATCAGAACCAATCAAATTAAACTTCTGGTTAAATGGTCACCTTGTTCTGATGGAGGTTGATATCAGTGTGACCATTTCAGTGATTGCAGAACCTGTCTTTAATAAACTTCACTCTGAAATCCAGCTCTCAAGTTTGCGCAAGACCTCGGTTAGACTGAGAACCTATACTGGGGAACCTTTACAGACTGAGGGTACAATTTTGGTCTCCTATGAGAAGCAGCTGGTTCAGTTATGACTGATTGTAGGCTCAGGCCCAAGCTTGATGAAGCAAAATTGGTTGCGAAAGGTTCACCTAGATAGGCTCAACATATTTCGATTAGAAAATGGCTACCTCAGTGAAGTCCTAATTAAATAACCGGACATTTCTCAGGAAGGACTAGGGCCTATCAAAGGAGCCAAGGCCACCTTGCATGTTGACTATGAAACGATTCCACGAGTCTGCAAGGCCCGCCCAGTACCACTTACCTTACGGGTAGAAGTAGAGGCAGAAATCAGGAGGCTGGAAAGTGAAGGAATCATCAAACCAGTCCAGTTTGGAGAATGGGCAGCACCAGTTATACCAACTCAGAAGCCCAATGGGTCGGTTGGCTTTTGAGGGGATTTTAAACAAACAGTAACTGATTTTTGCATCTGCATCAATACACATTCCCTCACAAAGAGGACTTATACACAAAGCTAGTGGTGTGGCGGGGGGGGGGGGGGGGGGAGTGCTGGGGCTTTCCTTCACGAAGCTGGACATGAGCCATGCGTGCTTGCAATTGTGGTTTTAGAAGGATTTCCAGAAGTACGCTACAATTAATACCAATTTGGATTTGTACCAATATACAAGACTACCGGTTGCAATATTGTCAGCCTGTGAATTTTCCAGCAGACGATGAAGGACATTTTACAAGGTCTACCCCTGGTCGCCATGCATCAAGATGACATGCTAATAACATGGAAGACCAATAAGAAGCACTAAAAGAACTTGGACATAGTGGGAAAAAACTTCATACATTCCACTCTATCCATGCTATTCACAATCTTATAAACTTCTATTATGTCGCCCTCTCAACCTCAACAAACCTAGTCTATCCAACCTTTCTTCACAGCTAAATTCCTCCATACCAGGCAACATCCCAGTAAATCTTTTCTGTACCCTCTCCAAAGCATCCACATCCTTCTAGTAGTGTGGTGACCAGACTGGATGCAATATTGTGGTCTAACTAAAGTTCTACAAAGCTGCAGCATAACTTGTCTATCCTGTACTCAAATGCTTATTCTAATGAAGGCAAGCATGCCATAAGCCTTCTTTACTACCTCATCTACCTACACTGCCACCTTCAGTGATCTGTGGACCTGCACACCCAGATCCTTCTGCATATTAATACTCCTAAGAGTTCTGCTATTCACTGTATAATTTCCACCTATACTTGACCTTCTAAAATGCATCATCACACATTTGTCCGGATTAAACTCCATCTGCCATTTTTCTGTCCATGCCTTAAACTGATCTATATCCTGCTGTATCCTCTGCCAAGCCTTCTCACTATCCGCAACTCCACCAATCTTTGTAAATGTACTAATTAGACCAGCTATGTTTTCCTCCAAATCATTTATGTAGATCACGAACAGCAGAGGTCCTAGCACTGATCCCTGTGGAACATCACTAGTCATAGCCCTCCATTCCGAAAAGTACCCTTCCACTGATACCCACCGTCTCCTATGGCTAGGCCAGTTCTGTATCCATCTTGCCAGCTCACCCCCGATACCATATGACTTCACCTTTTCTTACCAGGCTGCCACGAGGGCCCTTGTCAAAAGTCTATCTAGTGACCATTATGACTTAGTGCAATTCTCTTGCCTTTTCCCATTACCCTTGCAAGTTATTTGAAAAGAAATAATCATTCCATGCCCTTTTGAATACCTTAATTGACTCTGCCTTCACCACTGTTCCAGACTGTGTGTTCCACACCTGAACCACATCATTTTTCCTCCTTCAGCAAATCATTCTAAACTATGCCCTTTTATTCTTGTTCTTTTTACCAGCAGGAACAGTATGTCAGTGTTATCAGTATTTCTCCCTATCTGCTCTAGCCAGGCCTCCCATGATTTTAAAAGCCGATATCCCCCAAGCATTCTTCTCAACAAGAAGAACAATCCTGTCTCTCCATTCTATCCTTACAACCAAAGTTTCTCATCCCCAGGACCATTCTTGCAAATCTCTTCTGCTGTCTGTCCATTGCATTCACATATTTGTCACAATGTTGTGCCCAGAAATGTAGACAATACTCCACGTGAAATCCAACCAATGTTTTGTAATAAGTTCAACATCACCTCCTTGTTGTTGTACTCTATGCCCCTATTAATAAAGCCCAGAATACAGAATGCTTTTTTACTGCTCTGCCTGTCCTGCCACCTTCACTAATCTGTGCACAATGATCTGCTCCTGCACCCCCTTACGCATTGTATCCACCATTTTATATTGTCTCTCATGTTCTTCTTAGATTACTGCATACTTCTCCCTGTTCAACCCCATCTAACATATATCTGTCCACTCCACCAACCTGTCAATGTCCTTTTGGTGTTCTACAAATGGTCCCTCCTCACAGCTTAGACTTCTTCCAAGAAATTTTCTACCTATTATCTGCCTAGTTTTGAAAATATCCCCAGCATACCAGTATCTAGGTCATCAATAAATCAGGATAAGCAAAGTTCCCAATGTCGCCCCCCCCCCCCGCCCCCCCCCCCCCCCCGCCCCCGCCCACAACAACTTTGTAAATTTCAAATTACTGCACCACACCCTCACCCTCAACTCCCACTCCCTCAGAATTTGGAGCTCAACGTGTTGCATGACCCTAGCTGTGTTACCTTGTAGATTTAAGTGTTATAAACAGGGAAGGGTTTTGTGGCACAGGGGTTACTTCTGAGCCAGGAGACCTAGGTTCAAGTCCCACCTGCTCCAGGGGTGTGCAATACCATCAATGAACAGATTGATGAGAAAATATCTTGCAGATAGGGACCCCAGTGGTCTTTCTGGATTGTAATACAATTTTGGTCTCCAATTTTGGAGGCAGTTGAGGAGATTTTCTAGATTGACTCCAGAGAGTAGGAGTTTGTTTTATGAAGAGAGATTGAGCAGTTTAGGCCTATACTCTCTGATGTTTACAAGAATGAGATATCTAACTGATGTATAAGATGCATAAGGAGATTGACTAAATAAGGGCGTTTCCCCTTGTGGGGCAATCCAGCACGAGAGGTCATAAATTTAGGGTAAGGGGTGGCGGACTTAAATCAGAGATAAGGAGGAATTATCATTCTCAAAGGGTTGTGAATCTGTGGAATTTACTACCCGAGGATGTGGTGAATGCAGAGACATGGAGTAAATTTAGGAAGCAGATAGACAACTTTTTAATTAGTAACAGGTCGAAGGGTTATGGAGGTGGGTGGAGAAGTGGAATTGAGGCCAAGACGAGATTAGCCACAATCATACCAAATAGTGCAGCAGGCTGAAGGAACTGAATGGCCTACTCCTGCTCCTAGTTCTTACAATCTAATCAAACATCAGCGTTTGGCTGGGACGCAAAGAAAGCTACAGCACCGATTTCCTAGGATCCATTCTCTCCCAAATTTGCACGGTCAGAGTTCAAAATGAAGGCGAGCAACTTTGCTCATTTTTGTCGTCTTTAACTCTGGGATGTGCAGGTACAATCGTGGCAAGATCACTAACTCAGAGCAGACTGGAGAGAAGCAGCATGTATTTAACAGGTAGTCATTAATCCCAATGTTGTTTTTTTTTAAAAACACTGATTCAATGGTCACATTACAAAACCATAATAAAATAATTTTATTAAACTGATATTTTGTTACTGTTTCTGCAGTAGTGTTACCTATCTTTATCTATACAGTGATCGTAAGCTGTCACTTGAGGTCAAGCAGCAGAGACCAAGAACTGCATTCTATATGAAACAATGCCCTCAAAAGACAGAATCTGGCGGTGAAGTGGAGTTTGGAGACTGTTAGTGATAATTCCGGAGTTTAAAATTAAATACGGCACCAACCAATATTTCCAGCTCAGCACAGCAGACAACAGGAGGGAAATATTTTTATCGTGAATTACATAAGCAGAACAGAAAGCAGAAGCTGTGATAAAGCTGCAACTCGGAAAGCAATAGGCCCTTGTTTCCAACAGATTAATACAAGTACAATCCCTCAGAGAGAACACACGCTCATTCTGAAACACGGAGGTCAGATACCTCGACACTTCCAACCTCATCATCGAGGAACCGAGGGCAAAACAAAGCAGGTAACAAATTCAAATCTTCAGTTACAGAAATCTAGGACAGAATTAGCAGATGCATTTAGTGAAAAGATTAATCAAATCTGCAAATTGACAGCATGACTTTTTGAATGAAGCAGTCACCAACAACGGCAAATAAAACCAAAAGAACTGTGAATGCTGTAAATCAGGAATAAAAACAAAGTTGTTGGAAAAGCTCAGCAGGTCTGGCAGCATCTGTGAAGGAGAAAACAGAGTTAATGTTTTGGGTTGGGTTCTGAGGAAGGGTCACCGGACCCGAAACGTTAACTCTGTTTTCTCCTTCACAGATGCTGCCAGACCGGCTGAGCTTTTCCAGCAACTTTGTTTTTGTACCAACAATGGCAAATCCTGGCTAAACATTTGCAATTGTTACGGTAATAATTATTGTCACATTAATTTTTATTTTGATATACGGTTGCAAATTTTTCCCTTTCCACTTTTTGAAAAAGGTCATTATTTGCACAAAGGTCACCAAGGGTTAATGTATTTTGGAAGGGTGCATTGAAAGCTCCAAGTTCTAACATAATTTTTTTGAAAAAAGAAAGCGTAGACAGCCAAGCGATTGAAACAAAATAATGGCAATAATTACTGGATTGACTTAACTAATTTTTTTGGGAAAAAGGAAAGAAATCTTCCTCATGAATATATTTGAGATTAACAAGGTGAGGTTCGGTAACTGAATGTGTATGAAGGCCAAGGAAGAACAAGTAAACTACCAGCCTGCACCCAACTTCAAATTTCTACATGCAAATTTACTGTACAATTGTGCAATCTTGTACTAACTTATTTGCAATCTATTATCTACAGTTTCCTGCTAATGGTGTGTGCATAGATAACGCAGCTTCATCCAGCCTCATTTCAAAATCAGAAATGTTTTGCTCAAATTATCTGTCTTCTCTTCTTCACTCGATCAATGCAATACTTTTCCATACTTCATTCGTAAGTGGCTCACTGCAAAGTATTTTGCCAGAAATCATTTGTCATAATCTGGACAATGATATAGTTAATGTATTTTGTTTTGCACACAACTTTCGGAGTTAATATACCCTTCCACTTCATTCGCAATTGCATCTTGCTTCTCTGATTGAATCATGCCGAATCCTGCAGATTTTACATACTGTTTTGTCAACAAACGTCAGAATTTCCACGTCTACTCACTTCCTCTAGTCTTCAAAAACTTCAAACTTGAACTGTATTGTAGGTTTTCAGTCAGTGTTATACCAGTGCTCTTTGGTTCACTCCATTTAGGGTGCCTGTACTTTTTCCCATTGAAAAGGTTAAAACACAGCATGAATCTGATTCCTATAAAGCCTCTTAAAAATACAAATAAATACATTATAATTTCCAAGGCGAGGGAATAATTTTTCCCTCCTTGTTAGTTTTAGTGGGAAAGCTAAACAGATGTGCAACTTGTCCCTCTGGCTTCAACCCCACTGGCAGAGAAACCTGCTCCACCTCAGCAGGTGAGGTAACAAAGTGTAGAGCTGGATGAACACAGCAGGCCAAGCAGCATCAGAGGAGCAGGAAAGCTGATGTTTCAGGCCTAGACCCTTCTTTAGAAATGGGGGAGGGGAAGGGGATTCTGAAATAAATAGGGAGAGGGGGAGGCGGATAGATCATGGATAAGGGAGAAGATAGGTGGAGAGGAGACAGACAGGTCAAAGAGACGGGGTTGGAGCCAGTAAAGGTGAGTGTAGGTGGGGAGTTAGGGAAGGGATAGGTCAGTCCAGGCTGGATGGACAGGTCAAGGGGGCAGGATGAAACTAGTAGGTAGGAGATGGGGTTGGGGCTTGAGGTGGGAGGAGGGGATCGGTGGGAGGAAGGACAGGTTAGGGAGTGGGGGGACAAGCTGGGCTGGTTTTGGGATGCGGTTGGGGGAGGGGAGATTTTGAAGCTCGTGAAGTCCACATTGATACCATTGGGCTGCAGGGTTCCCAAGCGGAATATGAGGTGCTGTTCCTGCAACCTTCGGGTGGCATGGTTGTGGCACTGCAGGAGGCCCGGGATGGACACGTCGTCTGAGGAATGGGAGGGGGAGTTGAAATGGTTCGCGACTGGGAGGTGCAGTTGTTTAGTGCGAACCGAGCGTAGGTGTTCTGCAAAGCGGTCCCCAAGCCTCCGCTTGGTTTCCCCGATGTAGATGAGGCCACAACGGGAACAGCGGATGCAGTATACCACATTCCTGTAAACGTATTTTGTTTTCTCTCCAAGGCCAATATATCCTTACGAAGGTGTGGTGCCCAGATCTGCTCTCAGTACTCCAAGTGGGATCTAACCAGAGTTTTGTGTAACTGCAGCATAATGCCTGCATCCTTTTATTCCAGTCCTCCAGATACAAAGGTCAGCATTCCATTAGCCTGCTTGACTATTTTCTATACCTGTTTGTGACTTTTTAAAGATCTGTGCCTTCAACCCAACCTTCCTCCGCCCCACCAAGTCTCTTTGGACTTCCACTGTATTTAACTCCATACCATCCAGAAAATGGGCAATGTCACACTTATAATCCACTTACCCCTGCCTTAAAAAGATCCACGGAACCTGCTTCCATCTTTTCTAGGGAAGGGAGAGCTCCAAGGACCCCTGAACATCAGAGAAAAAGTTCACCTCATCTTGGTTTTAAACCTGTTTTTGTATTAAACAGTGACCCATTGTTCTAGATTCTCCCATAAGAAGAAACATCCTCTCCACAGCCATCCTGTCAAGACCCCTCATGTTTCAATCAAGTCACCTCCAATTCCTCTACGTTCCAGCGGATACAACCCCAGCCTGTCCAAACGTTCTTCAGAAAACAAGCATCCCCATTTCAGGCATTAGTACAGCAAACCTTCTCTGAACGGCCTCCAATATACAAAGAGCAAAGAATGCTGTATATCGTCACACTCCTGTCTGCTTCTCTGTGGAAATCATGGATTCACTGGCACTATTTTGATGAATGGTAGGTGGAGTTCTATCCAGTGCTCCAGTCACTATTAAACCTTTATAATACATCACTGCAATAAACAGCCAAGAAGTTCAGGGTCATAGTGCTGACCAAATGTGGGGCAAGGCCAGAGAGATTTGCGTATTTTCAGTTCATTTTGTTCAGGGCAGGGGGAGGTGTGACAGAGACCCAATGCAAGTCTGTGGAGATGATGGAGTACAGGTCTGATTATGATTAGCTAAACTACAGATGCTTTGAAGTGTCTAAGGAGTGGTTTGTGTGAGCTTGCTGAACATAAATTGGCTTTGTGCTTTCTGCATGAAAACAGTGACTGCAGTTTTCAAAGTACCTCACTGACTGTCAGCTGACTTAAGGTACAAGACACTGGGACAATGGAAATATACCTTCTTTCTTTGGAGGGCAGGAATGCAGGCACATATTTTTGATTTGTCTGGGAACGCTGACCCAAGCAAAACTCACTTCATTGCCATGTGTATGTTTCTATCACTATGCATACTTAATTGAATCACAACATATATCACCAACTCCCATCATGACCTATCCCAATCACATGTCAAGACTGAGTGTGCAGGAGATCAAGAAGTGTCAAGCATTGATGATAAGCATATAATTTATATTTGGAGTGACTATTCCAAAGTTCTAAAGTAGTGTAGAATATATAACGTCGTGAGCCTGACTGGCTGGAATCTGCTCAGAACATATTCAACTCCCTCCTGCTTCACTGCAGAACATACAAACAAACAAATTAGTGGGGGAAGTAGGCCACCGAGCCCTTGAGCCCAATCTGCCATTCAATGAGATCATGGTTTATCTGATTACATTTCAAATTCTATAGTCCCATCAATCCTGATGTCCCTTGATGTCCTTGCCTAACAAGAAACCATCAATCTCTACCTTAAAAATATTCAGTGATATTCAACACTATTCAATTCATAAATAATGCATAGCTGTTTGAACCCTTTTGTTTAACTGCTAAGTTTACACATTAGGAAAGTCAGATATTTGTGAGCAAAAATTCGCAAGCCATTTCCAGAAAGCGTCTGAAAGAGAAATCTATGTCAATGTTACTGTCTCACCCACTCTGCATGACCAACCAAGTCTGTTTCTATTCCAAGTTTTTAGATATAGCCCGAGGAGCTAACACACAAAAATGTGAAAAAAAAAGTGTTTTTGGTTGTTCCACAAAATCAAAACACACCGACATGCAGTATTTTGATTTCAACTAATTATGAGTTCTAGCACACTGAGGGAATGAAATTTGGATCACTTTTGCTGAACAGAAAGAATCAAGACCACTTCTGGAGCCAAGGTTCAGTGAGAATCAGAGTAAAATAAGACATTATCAGCCAAGGTTAATAAAGCAGAGAACAGTGGATTAAGACAAATATTCAGGAGAGAATACATTGTATTTTTGCTCCAACATGAGGTAGATTGTGTCACCATATTTTAAAACACCACCCTGGATACTGGCTAAGGCCCCACAAAGTCAAGTGGTCTTCATTCAAGATACCAAGGAGGGTGGTGAGTGCAAGTAGTATTGTAAAGAGAGCTAGGGAAAACCTCCCCCAGGAGAAAGGCACATGAATTAGAAGAAATTAATGTGATTGCATTGCCCTGACAGAGGACAACGTCGGACAAGTAAGGCGCATAAACGCCGAGGGTGCAACAGAAAACACTGCAAAACACCCAGTGGAGTGAGAATTCACCAGGTCCAGATGGAATATTCCCCAGGTTGCTGAGGGAAATAAAAGCTGAAAACTGCACAGGTACTGACCATAATCTTCCAATCCTCCTCAGAAATTACAAATGTTTTGTCTGTGTTCAAAAAAGGTTGCAAGGATAAAGAACTGACCAGTCTGTTCTAGCTCTGTAACTTTGAGAAATTATGATTCCAAATAAATAAGATGCATTTGGGTAAGGGTGAATTAATTAGGGAAAGCCTGTATCTATTTGTTGATGTTACCCAGCAGGGTAACGAAACATCTGCAGAAAAACAATGAACCAGCTCGGTGAGCCAACCAACCACAACACCCATAACCGGAGCTACAAATCTACTCCAAAACCTTAGAAAAGAGAAGGTTGTACTCATTGGAGTTGAGAAGAATGAGAGGCAATCTCAATGAAACAGATAGGAAGCTAAGGGACTTGACAGGATAAATGCGGAGATGTTTTCCTCATGGGAGAGTCTAGGACCTGAGGGCATAAATAAGAATAAAGAGGCACCAATTTAAGATTGAAATGAGCAGGAATTTCTTCTCTCAGAGGATTGAGTGTCTTTGGAACCTCATGCCACAGAGAGCTGTAGGGCAGAGTCCCTGTGTATTTTCAAGGCTGAGATAGATTATTGAGCAGTTGGGGAATCAAAGGTTCTGGGGAGAGGACAGGAAAGTGGATATGAGGAACATCAGATCAGCCATAATCCTATTGTATGTTGGACAGGCTTGAGGGACAGAATGGCTACTCCTGTTCCTATTTTATATGAATGATGTGTTTGATGTGATATATAAGGACTTCCAATAGGTATCTGACAAAGTCCTACGCTACCAGCTTATCAGTAAAGTTCAAGACTGTTGAATAAAAGGGAGAGTAACAGAACGGATGCAAAGCTGACCAAAGAACAGTAAACAGAGAATATCAATAAACGGTCGCCTTTTGAACCACAGGAGAGTTTCTCAGGGGTCAGTATTAGGAAGGCACTACTGCTGTTTGTGATCTTAACAACATGGAGTTGAATGCGCAAGGCACAATTTTAGCAAAAGATCAGCTAACGCAAAACTGGACAGTATAGCAAAGGTTGGGGAGGACAGCGATAAAGCCTTGATAAGCTTTGCTGTTGAAATGGACTTTAAGGTGGCAATAAAGGTTAACGTAAACAAGTGTGAAGTGATACATTTGGAAGAAATAGCAAATGAAGGATTACTAAAAAAGGATTAAAAAATTACAGGGCTGCATGAACAGACTCATCAGGACTCTACAAGCAAAAAGTACAAACGTAAGATCTTGAAAACTTGTTTAAAGCACTGATGTTATCACAATGACAGTACATGCCCAATTCTGGGAATTTTTAGGAAGGACATGGAGGCTCTTGTGCATGCAGTTGAGGGTGCTGTTCCTCTAAGAAGTAGTCAGGTGACACCCAGAGGGGTGGAGCTTTGGTCCAGTCTCGAACTGGCTGGGGAGGTGGGAGCATCATTAATCAAGTGTTCCTGTTCACATCCACCATTTATCTGCCTGGTATATAATTCCTGATCCCAAAGGCAGCTCTGACATAACAGAGGCCTAAAAGGAGGTAGAGAAAAGACTGATGTGAATGGTTCCAGAGATGAGGAACTTCAGCTCCATGGAGAAATAGAAGCAACCAGGGGTAGTTCTCCTTAGAGCAGAAAAGGACGAGAGGAGATTTGATAGAGATGTTCATAATCATCAGGGATCTCGACACAGCAGAAAGAGAGAAAATACTGGCATTGGCAGAAGGGTGTAAAACCAGAGGACAAAAGTTTAATGGGAAAGGCAAGAGACCTCAAAGCAACAAGAAAAACTTTTTTTTTTAAACGCAGGGGATTGTGGTGACATGGAGTGTATGGCCTGAAAAGGATGTGAAGGTAGATTCAGTGATGGCTTTCAAAAGGGATTTAGACAATACGTGGGAGAGATAATTGCAGGGCTCCAGTGAATGGACAAGAGTGTGGGACTAGATAAAGTGCTGTTGCAGTGATGCAACATGAATTCGATGGGCCAAATGGTGTCTTAAGAATGCTATGTTCTCATTTTTCACGAGAATTCTCTTTTGATGAGCTTTCAAACATTTTAAGGCAGCATTGTAAGAAGCACCAAAAATGCAAAAGTTACTTTTCTTCCAATGCAGTGGATCAGAAAATGCACTATTACTTGTGACAATTTCTTGTCACAATTATTAATCCCTTGGCAATTGTGGTGACTACATATACTATGAATGCTCATGTTCTTCATTTCATTGATTTTTCTTACCTGTTCCCTGCTACATGATAACATTATTTTGAAACTTAATGGAAAATTACAGACACCTGGAGCATAGCACCACAAGACTGTGAAAAACCTCACCAAACTGCAAAGAATTATACAGGTAAAGGGCTATTTTTGAAATAATGAACTTTGCATGACCTTTCGCAGGAATTTTCAATATAAATATCAAATTAATGCTGAGATACAAGGGTGTAATTTGGACACAAGTAGAATAAGTGGCTTCTTCTGGCTTGGAGTGTTTGAGCTGAGATACGGCACATGTCTGCAATCTTCAATGGAAAGAAAGACTGAAAAATGGAACATAACAGAACTATTGGAGGTCATACAATAGATGAGGTACACACTCAAAGGGAAGAATGTATGCAATTATGGAGGACAGCACATAACAAATCATTAGCTCAAAGCCCAAACTGTATTCCAGACCTGGCTAAGCTCCAGGGTAGTGTGTTAAATTCTCAAAGCATTTGGAAAATATTGAAGGATTTAAGGTTCTCATGCCAGGTTTGGCAACTGCTTTGTATTTTATCGAAAGACAGAGCGAGAGCCAACCATAACAAACAACAGCCTGTCAACCATTAATGACATAGTGTGAATGCAGCATTGTTGGGGCTAACTTCAGATAATGCTGAAACAAGATATAGGATCTGAATGGTGTTGTTAGATTTTGAGAAGCTCCAAGTAAAATAACACAGGAGCAAGAGACAGATGGACCTTGTTTACTTTCCTCTTGTCCATATGCAGACTGATTTAATTTCAAATAAGTTGCAGTGTGTTTTTCAAACCTCCATTTGTAAAGTTAGCTTTTTTTCCCAATTGCATCAAACTCTCAGTTTTAAATCAAGAGTATTATTTATTTACATCAAAACTCAAGGTGATCCTTGCAACTTCTCTCACTCACACACACAAAAGCAGGAGCAAAAGTAGTTTCACAGTTACGAAAGTTAAAACCTGAACGTTTAGACATCAATTCGTACGATTGCTAGATTCAGGTGGGCACAACTAGCTAAGGGGTAGGAAACAGCAGAATTCCTCTTCAGGTTGACACAGATACAGCAATACAGGGCATACAGGGGCGTGGTCCACTTTTCAGGCAATAACAGTAATCTTCAAGATACAGGCTTCGAGGAGATCTATACAGGACAAGAGCTATCCTGGAAGTGTGGCTGTGTTACCAGCAAGTTAGATTCTGAGCAGACCGAGATACAGGATTAGAATTAATGCACGATGACGGAACATGTGCAGATGATAGTGCACAACCATTGAAAATGCCTGCTATGATTGGTTGACGTACAGAGCTGCTTGCAATGCAACGCAAATGCTCAAAATAAACATAATTCTTCCTCGCTTGAATCTGTTGCTTATTTCACAGATAAACTGGCCAATCTCACAACAAAGATTTTCCAGGTGATATCTAGAGTCTTCTTGCGAGTCACATCAGACAAGAACACGAAGTTCAGAGAAGTGAAGTTGCACTGAGTGAAACTTTGCCAACCTTCAATACTGTGGAGTGTGAACGGACTTGGTTAAGCCAGTCTCGCAATTTCCCCTACAAGTTCTCTGCACAAACTATATGGCATAAGGCCTTGGGCTAAAAAGCATTGCTCTCTAGGAGGTTGCAAATTTGAAGCAAAATTAAACAAGATGAGTCATCAGACAATGTTGCACAGCAACACTGTTTCAGTGCAGGTTTGTTGGTCCATCATGCTGTGAAATTTCACAATGTCATTACCTCTGGGCCAGAAGGCTTGGGTTCAAGTCCTACCTGCTCCATGGTATGGCATAACATCTCTGAACAAGTTAATTAAAAACACCTACAATTAAAATTTTTCAAAGATCAAAGGAATTTTGTTCATATGACAGACCCATTAAGGAGTCAGCTTCAATAAATCATTAGTTTCCATCTCTCTGGTCAAGTCTCCATCATTCAACTTAAGACATAGATGGGATCAGTAGCACCTCAGAAAATACAGCAAAGATCAACGATTCTATAGATAATAGCAGAGTATTGCTGATATTGGAGTTTGGAAATAAAAACAAAGTGCTCAGTCATATTGAACCAGAAACATTAACTCTGTTTCTCTCTCCTCAGCAACTTTTTGTTTTTATTTCAATTGCTCTACTTTTGCTTAGTTGCCCCATCGTGTCCAGGGATGGTTAGGTGGATTAGCCATGGGAAATGCAGGGCTACAGGGATAGGGTAGGGGTATGTGTCTGCGTGGGATGCTGTTCAGAGGGTCGGTGTGGACTCGATGGCCAAAAGGCCTGCTGCCACAGCATAGGGTATGATTTACAGTGTCCATGCAATTATCAGTGTGAAATTCTAAAGACAGGTGGCTTAGGCATCACTGCTAGTTTCTAGAAACATAGCCAACTTGTTACAACATGCAAGTTGTAGCTGCAGAGATAGCAAGAACTGCCGATGCTGGAGTCAGATTCAACACAGCATGGAGCTGGAGGAACACAACAGGCCAGGCAGCAGAGGAGCAGGAAAGTCAACTTTACTACTGCTCTGATGCTGCCTGACCTGCTATGCTCCTCCAGCTTCACACTGTGTTGACAAGTTGTAGCAACCACTTTATTCCAGCAAGGTCCATTTGAAAATTAAACAAAGGAGGTGTTGTTTCTTTTTGAAATGAATAATTGGTGATTTATTTCCTTTCTTTGTTATTACATTGGCAGCATTTCTGCACCATTGCATCCATCCCTGACTGTGATGGCGCGGAACACTGGCAGTCTAAAGATTGGCACTAATATGTAATGGGCTGCCCCAACCTACTATTGATTATTGTGTGCAATAAAGTTAGAGTTCTAAATAAAAACAGAAAGGACTGTGGATGCTGGAAATCAGAAACAAAAACAGAAATTGCTGGAAAAGCTCAGCAGGTCGGATAGTATTGGTGGAGAGAAAGCAGAGTTAACGTTTTGGGTCAGTGAGCCGTCCTCAGAACTTGGTTCTGGAACAAGATCTGGACAATATCCAGGCTTGGGCTAGCAAGTAACATTCATGCCACGCAAATGCCAGGCTATGACCATCATCAATAAGAAGCAATCTAACTGCTGTCCCTTGATATTCAACGGTGTTACCATCACAGAATCCCCCACGATCAACATTCTGGGGGTAATCATTCACCAGAAACTAAATTAGACTTACCACATAAACACAGTAGCTACGAGAGCACGTCAGAGGCTAGGAATACTACAGCAAGTAGCTCACCTCCTGCTCACTGTCTACAAAGCACAAGTCAGGAGTGTGATGGAATAGTCCCCAGTTGCCTGGATGGGTGGAGCCCCAACAACACTCAAGAAGCTCACTTGACTGGCACCACATCGACAAGCATCCACTCCCTCCACCACCGACTCTCAGTAGCAGTGTGTACTATCTATTAGATGCACTGCAGCAATTCACCAAACATCCTTCAACAGCACCTCCCAAACCCACAACTACTTCCATCTAGAAGGCCAAGGGCAACAGATATATGGGAACACCACCACCTGCAAGTTCCCCCCCCAAGCCACTCACCCACCTGACTTGGAAATATATCGCCGTTCCTTCACTGTCCCCAGGTCAAAATCCTGGAATTCCCTCCCTAAGGGCATTGTAGGTTAACCCACAGCAGGTGGACTGCAGCGGTTCAAGGCGGCAGCTCACCACCATCTTCTCAAGGGCAACTAGGGATGGGCAATAAATGATGGCTAGCCAGCGATGCCCCATCCCACAAAACAACTTTAAAAGAATTCTTTCCACAGATGCTGCCAGACCTGCTGAGCTTCTTCTGCAATTTTTGTTTTTGAGTTAACGTTCTGTTGTGTTCTACTGAGGGTTAATATGTGTTCACTGTGCCCCCATCCGATCACATAGTTCCAACAAAGAGCTTTGCACAATACCAAGATGATGCTCTGTTGCAGTACTGAAGGAATGCTGTGCCTTCATACGTCCTATCTTTTAGACAAGATAAAGGAACCTTGACCGTTTCTTCCTTGGGTGCATGGAAAAGATCACAAAGCACTATTTTGAAGAAAATCATGATAAAGTGATCCTTAATGCATCAGCTACCATTTGTTTCTTCAAGCAACATCTCAAAACCAGATTATCTGATCATCACCTCACTTGATTCATGCAAGTTGGCCACCACATTTCTACATCAGAACAATGACCAGAAAACACTTCTAAACATCTGGTGGTCTTAATGCTCTATATACACAAGATTTTCTTTTTCTTCTTCCTGTGCGCTGGATGCGGCCATTTCATATCTCTTTCAAGAGAAAAAGAGGCAGTCCATCAAGTCACTGGAAGAACTTGCCTCGTACATCCACTTGAAATGAGATGCAGGGCCTTTGTTTAACATCTCACCTCAAAAACGACACCTCTAATAGTGCAGCTTGCCTTCAGTACTGCAGTGGTGTATCAAGCTAGAGCAAAGAAAGGTAAGTTCAAATCCCAACAGATATGCAAAACTAACAAGCATCTCCTTTTGACTTAACTAAGAGAATTGTACCATGAAAATGAGTTTACCCGTTATAATAAGTGCACTGATTAACATAAAAGTTGTGTGTCCTTTATTCTGCATTTCATAATTGGCATGCACTTGCGTACAATCATTTTGTTTGTAACTCTTTTGGTATATCCGTATGTCGAGTTCAAACAGCAATTAGTTTTGTCTGAACTAAACTAAAAGGTTGATTGGCCGAGCCAGTTATTTGGTGCCTCTTACATTGCCAGGATATCCTGAGAGAATTTACAGCCAACGATAGACCTTTTTACTGTGGTCACTGTTGTAATATAGGAAAATACAGAAGTCAATTTGCACACAGAAAACACACATATACACAAGTGTGATACAAAAACAGAAGTTTCCAAAGGTTCTCCAGTAGATCTGTAGCTCAGGCTCAGGCTCAGGTTGTGGATGTTGTGGTTGGTTGGCTCACTGAGCTGGTTCATTGTTCCGCAAATATTTCATTACCCTGCTAGGGAACATCAGTGCAGCGTCCGACGAAGCACTGTTGTGTTTTCCTGCCTGGTATTTAATCTCTGGGGTCCACTGAATTTGATTACCTCATTGCCGGTTTTCCTTCGCAGGAAAATATATATAGGGTCTAGTTCTATGTGTTTGTTGATGGCCTTCTTGGTGTAGAACCAGGCCTCTAGGAATTCCCGTGCTCATCTCTGTTTGGTCTGTCCTACGATCCTGGTGTCGTCTGAGGAAGTTGAGTTCTGAGGAAGGGTCACCGGACCCGAAACGTTAATTCTGATCTTTTCTTCACAGATGGTCAGCAGGTCTGGGAGCTTTTCCAGCAACTTTTGTTTATATTCCTGATTTACAACATCTGCAGTTCTTTCAGTTTTTATGCAAGTGTTAAAATGCTCTTTTCCCCATAGTGTAACGGGACCATTCATTGACTTGGGGCAGATGGGGGCTCAGCTGATGTCCTATTTGAAAGGTGGCATCATCTACAGTGACGAACTTCCTCATTACTGTACTGGAAGTGTCAGCCTAGGTGGTCTACCTTTTCAATAAAAAAGAATTGTTCATGGCTGAGGGATGACATGATTGAGGTATACAAAATTATGAGGGGTAGAGATACAGCAGACAGGAGGAACCTGTTTTGTTTGGCAGAGAGTTGGAAAAACCAGGGGTCATAGATTCATGCTAAAGGATTAGAGGGGACATCTGGAAAAACTGTTTTATGCACAGGGTGTTGGGTGTCTGGAATTCGCTGTCTGAGTTGGTGGTGGAGCAGAGAACCTAAACTCTTATAAAGTAGCTGTGTGTGCTCCTTAAATTGTGTAAACTGCAGGCTGTGCGCAGGAACTTGGGATTAGAAAGGGCCTCTGGGTTTCTTCAGGTCAGCATGGGCAAGATGGGCCAAATGGCCCCCTTCTGTTCTGTATCATTTCTATGGTTCTATGGAATAGTTTGGCCAGCATTTATTACCCATTCCTACCTGCCTTCGAGACAGTGATGGTGAAGTATCTTTTGAGCTGCTGTAGTACACGAAGGGAAATTATATCCACATTTGTGTTCAGGAGTTGTTCCACATTTTGACTCAATTGCCAAATTATGTACAACATGGGGACTGTCAAAGAATACTAAAAACAGGCATATCTTAATATAGGTCTACCTCTCTTTTAAAGAGAAGTAAAGTAAATTTAAGCAACCTTGTTTCATACTGTACAATCTTCACTGGGCTTGTCCTTTAAAAAATAGAGTTAAAGACTAGAAATATATTGTTCCATGGCTCTTTTAGTTACATATAGTCTAGTTTAGTTACATATATGTGGTGTCCAAGTCATGTTGTGGTGGAGCTCCAATGATCTAGTCCTTTCCCTGTTCTATCTGAGATTCTTCTTCAGATTAAAGAATGAGATTATCAGGCAGAAGACAATAAACTCAACATTACATTGTTATGGTTACTATTCAGAAGAGGCATGTTTAATATAAAACAATGCCGCCTAAATCAATCACACTGTGCTTTTTTTTTGATTTAGAAATGGCTTTGAATGGATCAGAAAGCTCTTCCAACTATTCAAACACCACAACAGAAGACAAGTGCGCGCCAGACCGAGAAATCAGCCAGGTGATCTTCTCCGTGCTCTATTCTGTCTTCTTCATTGGTGGCCTGCTGATGAACAGCCTGGCCATTTGGGTGTTCTTTCAAATACCAAGCAAGTCAAACTTCATCGTGTACCTCAAGAACACAGTCATAGCCGACCTGCTGATGACACTGATATTTCCGTTTAAAATAGTCATCGAGTCAAAATTCAGAACGCCAGGACTCCAAGTCTTCGTATGTCAAATTAGTGCAGTCCTATTCTACTTGACCATGTATATCAGCATCATATTTTTAGGGCTGATAAGTGCCGACCGCTACCAGAAAGCAGCTAAACCGTTTGGCCATTCTGGCATGTGCAAACCCAAAACTGCAAAGATTCTCTCAGCAACCATATGGCTGTGCATGTTTCTCTTGGTACTGCCCAATATGGTGCTGTACAAGGGAAGCACCATGCCAGAAAATGAGCGCAAATGCTCCTCGCTCAAGACTGACTTAGGCTTAAAATGGCATGAGCTGGTCAACTTTGTCTGCCAGATCATATTCTGGAGTAACTTGATATTAATAGTCGTGTGCTATTTTCTAATAACCAGAGAACTTTATAAATCCTATCGCAAGACAAAAGGCAGCTCCAGGCAAGTTAAGAAAGTCAATTTCAATGTCTTTCTTGTGCTGGCCGTGTTCTTTATCTGTTTTGTTCCTTTTCATTTCGCCAGGATCCCATACACACTGAGTCAGACCCGAGATGCCTACCAGTGCTCCACTCGAGTGGCTCTTTATTACATTAAGGAAAGCACACTGAGTTTGTCAGCGTTAAACGCATGTCTTGACCCACTGATATATTTTTTCCTATGTAGGTCATTCAAGAACATGCTATTTGCAAAGCTGAACAACTGCACACACAGATTGTCAAAAATGCAGACAGGTGATTGCCCATCCAGCATGGACACTCCACTCTAAGTTGCACCATAACATTACACTAATCAATATCCTCACTTGGTTTCTGCACAAGTCCTGGGAAACATTGTGCAGGGTTCAGTGTTATAAAATTAGCAATAAAATTTACACTTTACATGTATTCTACATATTTATATTCTATGGGGTTGAGGATGTTCTCTTATGTTAAAGGCACTATACAAATACATGCCATGTGATTGACTCTTAACTGCTCTCTGAGCAATTAGGGATGACAACAAATGCTGGATTAACTAGCGATGCCCAAATCTGTAAATAAATTTAAAAAGAAATTGTTGTTGCTTGGGCCAGGGAAAGAATACTAAGTCCCAAACAAATACAAACTAGATACGTATGACATCTTTCTTGTAGTAAATCATCCCAAAGTTCTTTACAATGAAATAGTTGATCAGGACATCCTGATACAGCATAGCTAGACCTGATGTTCTTTCCTATTTCTACAATGAGGGAGCATATATAATAATTCATTGAATCTTTACAGTGTGGAAGCAGGCCATTCAGCCCATCAAGTCCACACCACCCCCTCCAAACAGCATCCCATCCAGACCCACCCTGCTTCCCTATCCACATAACCCCACGTTTCCAACGGCTAGTCCACCTAATCTGCACATCCCTGAAAACTATGAGCAATTTAGCATGGCCAATCCACCTAACCTGCATATCTTTGGACTGTGGGAAGAAACCAGAGCACCCAAAGGAAACCCACGCAGACCCGCTGAGAATGTGCAAACTCCACACAGACATTCATCCAAGGATTGAATCTAATCTGGGTCCCTGGTGCTGTGAGATAGCAGCGCTAACCACTCGGCCCTCGTGCTGCCCATACATATATGTAGAATATTTTCTTGATTTTTTTTTTAAATAAAAGGTGTTTCTCTGTTTAAGATGGTCAATGGTGTTAATACAAGTCTCAGTAATTGTTTCCCACACAAAGTCCATAAGCACCAAAATACATTTGATTTAGGGAAGGAACTCTGAGCAGCGGTGCTAGCAAAAATGTTAGTGGATCAAATAAGGAGTAAAGATCCACAGCTAATCAGTGACATATGGTAGAAGGTGGAGGGTTGCAGAGCTAGAGGATGAAAGGCTATAGAAGATTTTCACAAATGAAATACTGAGCAATGAAAAAGGTGAGGAAGAGAGACTCTATCTCAACAGTTTACAGAACCTGGCAGGCCAGTATGGAAAATCTCCGAGGGCTTCAGTCAGGAGATGGTGAAAATATGAAACATTGTAGTGAGGGGAATTCCAAAGTGGTGACAGTAAGCTTGGTCAGAGATGGCAGGGCTTGAGTCTCACTGCAGATTCAAATAGGACACAGAGAAGGAGGAAATGGAATGGAATCAGGACAGACCCAAGACATAGGAGCAGAAATAGGCCATTCAGCCCATCAAGACCGCTCTACCATTCAATGAGATCTGGTTCATCTGATAATCCTTAACACTGCATTCCTGCCCTTTTCCCCAATTAGTCTTGATTCCATCATAATGGCATTATGACATTTTTGACAGGAGTTAAGCAGAATGATGTTGGTCTTCTCAATGTTTAAATAAAAATCTTCCAACTTATTTGAATCTTGATATCAAACAAGGAAGTGTATATTTAGACAAATGGTCATCAGTATTTTAATGGTACTTACATATTACACAAACTATTCCAGCAGAACCACTCATTTATCTGTGGTCCCACAATGTCTGGCAGCACAGCACAGAAAAGAAAATCATCACAAAGATCAGCAACAAGAGGGCATAATTTTTTAAGTGAAAGGCAGGAGATTTCGAGAGCATTTGTGGAAAAGTAATTTTTCCACCCAGAGGGTGATGGGAATCTGGAATGCACTGCCTGGGAGGGTAGGTGGCGTGAGAAACTTCATAACCTTTAAAAAGTACTTGGATGAGCACTTGAAATGTCATAACATTCAAGGCTGTGGGCCAAGTGAGAACAGTAGATTTAGAGTAGTTTTTTTGTTGGTACAAACACGAAAGGCCAAAGGACCTCTTCTGTACTATATGATCCTACGCTGTCTCTCAGTGACGTCCTGGTTTTGTTCACAAGTCACAAGAAGAGTGGGTTGGCCTGGGGCAGCCTTTTTGGGGCATTCTTATCTACTCAAGGTTGCAGGATAAATAGATGATACAGGCAAAGTGAAGCTGGAAAAGTAACACATTCAATAGATGGCAGATTCTTCCATCCTTTTCCCATCGTGACTTCACTGTTTTAAAAAAAAGTCCTGTTCTTACAGCGTTCTAATGAGATCCTACCATAAATGTACTGTCACTTCTGACATTTCATACAACCAAAATTAACGATAATCTACAATTGGAGAAGATATTTCCATTTAGATGTCACTTGCATCATTTTTTGTTTACAAATGTTTCTGAAGGGTCTGCACAAGAAACTAGAAATGGGAAACTGGGCTAAGAAAAGATATACAGGAGCATGTTTATGATACGTCTCCTAGTCTGTTAAAATCACACTAACAACTTGCAAAGAGCAAAAGCTGTCCAGGTGCATAAAAAGCATTCTTACCATGACAATGAGCCATTCCACACAAAATATATATCAGCAAGGGTTCTCCACGCTTTTAGCACAATTTGCTTCCCATTTCACATTCTTCTTCCAGTGTTGGTTCCAGCATAGAACAGTGCTTAAAACAGCATCTCAGCACTGGATGGAGGAAAGATGCTGCCTTAGTCACAGGACTCATCCATTCTAAATTCCTAAAGTCGATTGTTCAAAAGTTGTAAAAGAAAACAAGACACTGGCTTTGGGGGGAATTCAACATTGGTTGAACTGTTGCCTTACAGTAGCATGGGAGGACAGGAAAAAATAAGGCACAAAATTTCTGAGGCACCTTAGCTGGTTTTAATTAAAAGACAAGGGGTCCGATTATAAAGCGAGGAAATATACAAGCTCAATAAAACATAACACAGCCAAAACGTACTTATAATATGAAACAGAGTTTTTAGTCCATTTTATTGCAAACTTACCTACACATACAAAGAAATGTATAGATGCCAAAATGCTAGGGAGTACTGTAGAAGACTCAACTTACCCAGTGTTAAGCTTAGGAAAATATTGGGTGTGTGGGGTGGGGGGCCATGTTAACCTAACGCTTCCACTGGGCCTTGGATTTTATTTCCCATTTACGTAACAAAGGATAAGGTAGTAATACAGCATTCCATCCAATTCCATGGGATTCCTGCCCAGCAAATCAAGTTAAAATTGCTCCCACAGACAGAAGAATTTAATGACTCTGACTAAGTCATCTAAGCTGCACAAAGACAGAGCTGAACCCTATACAGGTCACTTGGGAATCTGTCAATTTCATCTTTACATGCAAACGAATTGACATATCATTGGTTTGATCTATTTACACACAAGCTTTTGAAAAATGAACAGAAGCAGGCTATTCATTCTCTTGAGCTAGTACAGCCACATGGCTGATCTGAAGAAGAGTCATCTAGACTCGAAACATTACCTAGCTCTCTCTCCACGGATGCTGTCTGACCTGCTGTGATTTGCAAAATTTTTGTCTTCAGTACAGGTTCCAGCATCTGCAGCAATTTGCTCCTACCTTATGCCTTAAAAATATTCAAAATCCATTTAAAAATATTCATAGTTTTCCTCCACCACTTTCTCAGGGAGTTCCAAAGACACTCGATCCTTGGTAAAAACAACTCACATTGTCAGTTTTAAATCATGATTGCTGATTTTTAAACAGTGACCCACATGCTTCACATCCTCTCACAAGAGGCAGCATCTTCTCTATCCCCACCCAGTCAATGTCCTCAGGATCTTACCTGTTTCTATAACGTCCCCTCTAACTCTTATAAGCTCAAGCAGTTACATGCCGAACCCTTCCTCATCAGACAACCTGCCTATTCCAAGTACTAGTCCAGAAAAACTTCTGTGAACTGTTTCTAACACATTGACATCCTTCTTTAAAAATGGGGTGGCATGGTGGCTCAGTGGTTAGCGCTGCTACCTCACAGCGCCAGCGACCCAGGTTCGATTCCATCCGCAGCTGATTGCGCAAATTCCACATGGACATTCTCCCCACATCTGTGTGGGTTTCTTCCGGGTGCTCCAGTTTCCTCCCCACAGTCCAAAGATGTGCAGGTTAGGTGGTTTGGCCATGCTAACTCTCCCATAGTGTCCAGGGATATGCAGGCTAGGTAGGTAATGCAGGGTTACAGGGATAGGGTAGGGGAGTAGGTTTGGATGGGATGCTCTTCAGAGGGTCAGTGTAGACACAAAGGGCCAAATAGCCGGCTTCCACGCTGTAGGAAATCTATGTTGACCAACACTGTACACAGCACTCTAGAAGTCTACTCATAAGTGAAAGCATAACCTCTTTAGTACTTGGTTGAGAACTTGAAATGTCATAACATTCAAGGGTACGGGCCAAGCGCTGGAAAATGTAGATGGTTCAGGACAGACCCAATAGGTTGAATAGTCTCTTCAATGCTCAATGACCATGACTTACTTTTGTAACTTAATAGTTCATAGTAGTAAGTATAGACATCCCTCGGGTTCTTTACAACAGTGCTTCCCAAACTTTCTCCCCCATACGTATCCTTATTTTCGAGCTTTAACTATTGCAACACCCTGGGTGCAATGCAGAGGTCAGACTTACTGCCTCCGAGCTCCATTATAAATGATCAAAGTTGCATTCGATGCCAATTCTGGTGTCCAATGCTATGCATAAACAAATTAAGTTGGATCACAATCTCCCCTTTGTAAATTATTTGCACTCTGTGTGAACTTCCCTTTTGAAACAGGAATGTCATGAGTGTTACTGTTTGTGCTGAAGTAAAATTAAATGCATGATGGATGTGGCAATTTTACTATCCTCTGTAAAAGTGTACATTCAACAACTATGCTAGTTTTGCAAATTAAGTCACGAGTGCATAACAAAATTTAAATTTATGATGAAATGTCTTTGAATATGTTTTGTAATCTAGCGTATACGCAGGAATCTCCCTCACTTAGTTCTGCTCTGGAAAAATATTCACATGCAGTCAGGAACAGCCACTGCTGCACCTAACGGATCAGGAATTCAGGGTAGACAGAGTCAGAGAGTCGTACAGCATGGAAACGGATCCTTTGGTCAAACCTGTCCATGCTGACCAGGTTTCCTTAACTTAACTAGTCGGATTTGTCAGTATTTTACCCAGATCCCACTATGCCTTTCCCATTCATGTAGTCATATAGATGCCTTTTCAATGCTGTGATTGTACCCACTTCCTCTCCCAGACCTGAAACGTCAGCTTTCCTGCTGCTCTGATGCTGCTTGGCCTGCTGTGTTCATCCAGCTTTACACCTTGTTATCTCTGTTTATCACTATTGTCTGTCTTTTGTTGTGAGGTGTTCAGCCCATACCCAAGGGTAAAGACAAACGTGTCAAGGAGAAGGCAAGATTAAGAATTATCTTCACGCTTAGGTTTCTTTATAACGTTGCTTATTACATATAAAGACTAAATATTACAGTATATGGGTTTCATAAATATGCCAGCTTCTACTTTGTTACATTACTGAAAGATTATTCCATGAACTGTATCATCTAACACTACACGTTATTAACATGGACATATTTAGATTTCTGGCTTCTGCCTAACTCCCTATGTATTTCTCTCTTAGACTGAAATCTGTCCACACGGTGCTATTTATGCCCAGTGAGAAGCAACTCTGTGATGTTATCGCAAGATTGCTCCAGGGTCTTAAAGCTCTTCTGTAACACTCTGCTTTCTGATTCTTGGGAATTTTATCTTCATTCTGCCAGTGACCCTTTAATGACTGAATGGCATTAACTTAGATACAAGATTGTAGGTGGATTTCTGTCAGAAAAAAATTTCAGAGAAATCCCTATACAACAACAACC